GGGGGGGGGTCCCCACGTGCCTTGTGCTGCTCTAGGTAAGAGGCTCTTCAGCCTCCTCCTAGCGCAGCAATGTCAGTTCTACTAGATGGCGCTGCAGCAGCCCTGAGAGGATCAGAGAAAGGGGAGCAGGCAGGAGTGAGGGGAGCTGAGTGCTTGATCACCACAGAGCCCACCCAGATAGTATTGGTGCATCCCTAAATTTTACAGTTGGGGGGTCACCACTACTTGGCAAATGTTACCAAGGGGTCCTGGCCCTAGAAAGGTTGAGTACCACTGGTCTAAACTATGCTGAAGAATTATAGGTCTCATGAGATATTCTCTTCACGGGGCATCAACGTTGGAATTTGATACTAAATGCTGCTCCCTACAAGCCCCAGCTGCTATTTTAAAGTCCATGGCAGAGCCTTGGCGACCACTTACCACCGGACCATTAAATAGCGGCTTCAAGTTTGAGCAGAAAACAAGTCCTATGTGAAACATAATGTAGAATTTGGGGAGCTGGTGAAGGAGGCAATGGTGGTGGATCCGAAGTAGATCTCTCCCATGAGTTCATGTGGGACTGTATTGGTATGAGTTCATTGAGCACTTGGCTGCCAGCTCACATATACTAAAGCAGGAATAGCAATGCTCCAGCAATCCAACTGTGGTGACACTACACCTCCCATAGGGACATTGCAAAACTCTGCCACAGGCAGATGCATGATGAGGTGTCACAGTAGATTGGTGACAATGAGGACAGCACCAGGCAGATGCAGTGTGAGAAGAAGAATCTTTATTAAAAGTCCATGATTAAATTGGCTCCAGATCCTCATACAAAAGTTCCAAAACCAGAACTAAACCAGGCCACGCCATACCTAACATGAATTACAGGGCAAAACCATTCAGGTTCCAGGGGTACAATTGGGGCAGATGCCAGGCGGGTACTCCCTGTATTGCAAACATGGTGTTAACAGATCCATTACCAAGGGATTAACATCAAGGCATCCGAATGTTCATCGGGCCCAGAACCGGGGTTAACTGTTCTACACCAGGACTCCAGAGTGTCTCTGCTGTTCCAGCCTTCAAGAGAAGATCCAATAATGAAGCCGGTAAGGGGGAATCAGTGAGCCATTCATTCTATAATCAACAAAGTCCACAAGTAGTACTAGACCAGGGGTAGCAAACCTCTGGCCCTCCAGCTGTGGTGGAACTACAAATCCCATGAGGCATTGCAAGATTCTCACAGCCACGACTCCCGGAGAGAGAGAGATGCATCATGGGATTTGTAGTTTCACCACAGCTGGAGGGCCAGAGGTTTGCTACCACTGTACTAGACAGTCCATAGAAAGGGTGACCTTCAGAGTATCACATGAAAAGGGCGCCGCAACTTGCCACCTTCCCGCTGGTCCTCAGAATCTACGTCCAGTTTCAGCCACACACAGCAACCCACCACCATGTGGGATTTAAGGCTTCCTTCCTGGAGGTGTGAACATGAGGAGGGTCTATGAGCGAACAATGGCTGCTTGCCCACCATTTCCTAGTAGCAACACTCCACAAAGTTCAAGAAGGAACTAGCTCAACCCGGGGAGGGAGGTGCAGCCAGGACTTGGAAAATCTAGAAACTTCCAGAAAGCTGCAGGCTAATCATCAACTTGCCACAAGCCATGCAGATTTTGTCACATGAGGTTTGTAGCTGGAGGACCAAAGTTTGCCTATCTCTGTAATAAATGTTCCACAGGAACTCTTCAGATACGAGACATAGTTTTTATTCCTTTTAAACAGACTGATGCTAATGTAACCAACGCGTTTTGGAGTTCCTCTTCATCAGGGTTTGGAATAAGGAAATGGATCATTTATACAGATATTAGGGTCCTGTGTGCACACTACAGATTAGTCCATGAACCAGTAAAAACAATCCCATAAACTGGTTAAATGATGCTGTTGATGTCCTTCCTTAATCAAGAAGGACGGACTGCACGCCGATGCCAATAAAGAAGAGGAAGTGTCTGTTACCTCAAACTGGGCTGAAGCCTTCAGGAAATGAAATACATTTTAAAAAATAATAATTTTCGTAATCACTGGTAAATTCTGTGTCCATTGAGGGCCTGGGCCGGGGGGGTGGTTCACTGAGTGACTGCTGGGAAGGGGCACAAGGTGCCCATACACTGCACGATTATCCTACGATAATTGCGGGAAATCCCACGATCGTACGATAATCGTGCAGTGTGAATGAAGGCGTGCGACCGTTTCTACTGTACGGTCTTTTGTCTAAGGAGCACGCTAGAAAACCAGCCGAAAATCTTACGATTTGCGGCTGGTTTGAATGATGCTCGGGAGACAAATGCCGAACGGGCCGGTGTGCGCACGCTGCCCGTTCAGCATTGCGGTCATCGGACTGATCGTACTTGCGATCATCGCAAGTACGATCTGCCTGTCCAAGATGGGCAGATCGTACGTTTTTTAAATTACTTTACAACCCTCGCAAGACTAAAAGGTCTTGCGAGGGTTGTAAAGTGCATGGCCACCTTAAGTCATTGCAGGGAGGGGGAGCTGAGCTACTGCAACACTATTG